TTTATGGTATCACTTGATTCACATTTAATGACAAAATATAACAAACCATCACGTCTGTAATTAATTCCAGATAAATTGAATAACAATAACAATTGTATTGACTTGTACCAAAATGTAAGTTGTGGGAAACTGATTATTATTACCAATCACAGAAATAAATAAATATAATTTTCATCACACTTATAAATGACATGATGTAAATAGATTTGTGAAACAAATGCAAGTTTGTTTTATTAGCATTTACATGTACAAGACTTGCAAAGAAAAAATTCACTGCTGTAATTCTTAACACTTCAAAATATAACACTCAGTATGAACATGGAGCTCCATAGTACACATCTTATTTTTTTCCTACTGAAACCAGGCTGAAACAGTATTGTAAGAAAAACCTAGGTTTCCCTAGGTCTGTCTTCTTTGTTCTCTGTTGTTTGTTTTCAGTGGGGGCGTTAATGGGCAGTTAATCCGGAGGTTAGGTTCAAACCTACTACTAATTTGCATATTGTAGGTCTAGTAGGTCTGAATAGGGCATGTCGGGTTAACCCAGGTTAACCCAGGTTTGACCCAGGTGTTTGAATATGAGATCACCCCTTAGCTGATGCATACAGTGCTGCACAAAAGATGATAGTACTTGTGCTTCTATCAGAATTAGATTTCAATTGTCAGTAACTCTGTTCTTTATAGGACCAACTAGCATTAAGTTTATCCCTTGCCATGGGACAAACCCAGAAAAAAGAAGCTCCAGATATCAGTACTTCTAAGCTTAATAAGGTAAGTGAAAAATTACACAACATTATTGGCAACTTTGTTTGGTAAACACCAGACTAGTGACTGTCTTTGAAGATTATACGTCATCTTCTCAATACTGTAACTTATTGTTTATGGTTAACCTTTTGAGTGTGATAATTTTTGCCTATTTTTTATTATTTTTCTATAATTTTTTTGATCATTCTGAACCAAATGAACATAATTTTCTATCAGCTACGACTTTCGATCAAAAAATCTGTTAAAAATGTGACATTTTATTGTGAATGTGATGACAGTCTACTTTTCTAAACGGGTTAACCTTTTCACCACCAGACTTTCTCGCTCAAATTTTGTCTGCACTTTTGTCATAATTTTTTCAATATTTCTGAAAATGAACGCTAATTTTGGAGCCAACAGACAAAATTTGTGTCAATTTTCAGTTTTTCCGCAAAAAATTTTGGCTATTTTTGTCCCAATCTTCTAAAGAATAGTGCAGACTATGAGCAAGACAATTTTGTGAATTTGTGATGAAAAGAGGAAACTGGTGATGAAAAGGTTAATGTCATCAGATCACCAAAAAATATTTTTAGCAATAAGAGTGTGAAGTGTCTTGAAAAACGGGCAAAATGGTGAAATTTTTTCTCCAGATTTCACAATTTTGATTGGTGAAATGTGACGAGAAAGTCATTTTTTAATATTAATCGTAATAATTGTTTTTACAACAGTTCAAATTACATACGATATGTGCAAGTAGTAGCAAAGTTTGTATTTAATGCGAACTACCTTGATATAAAATGAAAAAAATCCTCAATTTTGGTATCCAGACACAACCCTTATATCAATATACCTGTATTGATCCTGCTGTGTGTTTGGAACTGTGAATCAATCTAAGAATTGATACATCATTTTAGATTCAGAATGATAAAAGGCTTTGGTTCAATAATTATACAATGTACATTTCACCATGTATTGAAAAATGGAAAAGCAGATTTAAAAAAAAAATATTGCTTTCATATATTTGCCCGTTCTTGCTATTGATGGATTTAGACTTTGTAAAATAAATAACAGAAATATTAATTTATTTCTATTTTCTCCAGGTGAGCCAACTTACAGGTTTTTCGGATCCAGTCTATGCTGAAGCCTATGTCCATGTTAACCAATATGATATTGTATTAGATGTGTTGATTGTCAACCAAACTAGTGATACATTACAAAACTGTACACTAGAACTAGCAACACTTGGTAAGTACTTTAAAACCACTCCCATCTGTTTGCCATATCATTCCACCCCTTCATTTCCTCACAAAAATAATCTGCAGGGACTTACGGATTGACCTCTGTGTGTGTGTCGGTGTATCTGTGCGTGCATGCGTCTGAACCTATATCTTAGACATGCGTGGACCAATTACATTCAAACATTACACGTACATCATACATAATATTATAGATATGCACATAAATTTGTTTAATTTTCTGATTCAAGATGGCCGAATGGTGGCCATTTTGTGCTAAAAAAAACATAAAAAATTCAAGCATTTCTGGCATTCCGGAACTGGATCTTGATAGTTTATCAGTGGATTTTGTTTAAAATTGAGACATACATTAGACATTATCGGTGCCTGATGCATGTAATTTTGTTTTTCAGATCAGATTCAATATGGCTGACTGGTGGGCCATTTTGTTTTAATGAATGCAGTTTTTGAGCCACATCTTGACATGCATTAACTGATTATGTTAAAATTTTGTTCTGACAGCAGTTTATAAACCGACATTTCTTCGTTTTCTGTTTTTAGGTGACTTGAAACTAGTAGAAAAACCCCAGCCTGTTACCATGGCGCCACATGATTTCTGTAACATAAAAGCTAATGTGAAAGTGGCATCAACAGAAAATGGCATCATTTTTGGAAATATAGGTGAGTGCTGTGGAAGCTACTGTAATCTGCATTGATTTCGCAAGACACAAATTTTGTCATTATTGATGGCTCAGAGTTGTTATTTTAAGATATTGCAGATTAAAAAACAATCATAAGCCCTAGAACATCACATAGTTTGTATGTTATTCTATAATTTGGTGCAGTATCTTACGCCAGACAGTGATTGTCATACTTGTATATTGCATATCTGCACTCAGCAATGTTTTTAGATTTACATCCCACACATATTACTGTAAAATCTGTATTAGTAGCCGCGGCCTCTATTAAATGGTACAACACAACAGAGGGGATGCTGCTTCTATTAGAACATCTACACAAATGAGAAATAGGTGAATTTTTTTTGTGTCTGAATTGTTGAATGGGTGCGACTTCTATTAGGGATGCAGCTTCTAATACAGATATTACGGTATATATAATTGTTGAGTTTTCCCTCTGAAAGCCAACAGCTGTGTAAAGCATAGACAGATGATGAAATAAAAAAAAACACTGTCATGTGTTTGCTTGTCCAATGCTATTGCATTGCAGTTGTTGATAAGAATACACCTTTGTTTACAGTCTATGATGTATCAGGCGCTGCTAACGACCGTAACGTAGTGGTATTGAATGATATACATATTGACATCATGGATTACATCGTCCCTGCGTCTTGTACGGATGCCGAATTTAGACAGATGTGGGCGGAGTTTGAATGGGAAAACAAGGTTAGATATCACAGTACTTGTATACACACCACAACACTGTAAATTGCCCAGAATCCTTTGCGATTTATATAGAATCTGGTTGTTTTCAAAGTGAGAAGCTTATTTTTTACCTTCTGTAGCACAAACAGAATGGCAGAAGGATGAGTTAGTCATCAGTAGCATGAGCTGCTTTTGTTTGTTAGTCCCCGTTCGGACGCAGTCCGAAAACCAGGACTTATGTTTTGACCTCTGTGTGTCCGTGCATGCGTCCGGACCTGTATCTTAGAAATGCCTGGACCAATCACAATCAAACTTCACACATACATCATACATGATATAATACATATGCACGTCAATTTGTTTCTTGATCTGATTCAAGATGGCCAAATGGCGGCCATTTTTGTGCTAAAAATCATCAAAATAAAGCATTTCTCAGCTGTTTACAGATGGATTTTGTTCAAACTTGGTATATACATTAGACATTATGGGACCTTGATGCAAATAATTTTGTTTTTCAGATAAAATTAAAAATGGCCTACTGGAGGCCATTTGGTTTTAATAAATGTAGTTCTCGTGCCATATCTCTGACTTGCTTTCACTGATTATGTTCAAATTTTAAATATTCATTATACATCATGTCATAGATAGACAGATATATTGGTTTGACGATCCTATTCAAAATGGCCGAATGGTGGCCATTTTTGTGCTTAAAAATCATCAAATATCAAGTATTTATGGATGGATTTCGTTCAAACTTGGTACATACATTAGACATTACAGGTTCCTGATGCACGTCATTTTATTTTTCAGATTGGATTCAAAATGGTTGACTGGCGGCCATTTTGTTTCCATGATTGGGCTTCTAGAGCAATATCTCTTAAATGCTTTGACTGATTATATTTACGTATTAAATAATTGTCAGCTATCGATAACCTATTTTAAAATTTGTTTTCAAGTAGAAAAAATAAAGATGAGCACTCTTTAATAACATGCTAAGAATATGTGTATTAAAAATTTAAATGGCGTTGTGTGGTGGCATAGATACTTTCGGTGTTCTAACTGCAAAGAATTCTGGGAAAGAAGGGTGTCTGGACCTGTATAAATTTGTCGGTTTTCTGAATTTAGTAAACTTCGTTATTTCAGGTTACTGTGAACACTAAACATTGCAGATCTATCAACGTACCTAAGACACTTAATAAAGTCTACAAATATGAAATGCTTAACACCAGAAAAGGTAAGTCATATGACGACTGGACTTCATTACCCAGAATCCAATGTAATTGTGATGAAAACTATACCACTGCTGAGCTGTTGATGAATGTATTTCAGGGGTTCCTATTTCTGTCTCCATTCATGATATATCCTAGTTACTGCGCTTGTTATCATTTTTCGTATGAACCCACAACATGCAATAGGTATTTCTAACCACCCTCATGTTTGGTTCCTTGTCAATCTCTTTGACCATTTCTCTGCGCTTCTCTGGGCTTTTCTGTAATTTTACAGAAATTAGTATATCTTATAGTAGAATTAAACCAGTGCTATGATTGTTGTCAGTAATCTCTAACTACCAACAATATGCCTATCATTTCTTACCATTGCTGTAATTTGTTGTTTCAAATCATTGCTACGATAGGCTCTTTCTAATCATTGCTGTGATTGGTTCTTTCTAATCATTGCTGTGATTGGCTATTTGATATTTCTAACCATTATTATCATTGCTTTTCATTCATCTACTGAGCCAATCATTCTTGCTGTATATTTCTGTAGATATTATTGCCATCTAATGACGGTTCTGATGGGATATTACAGGGTTTGTCTGGTGAGTGTGGTTTCATGGCAGCAAACCTCTATGCCAAATCCATATTTGGTGAAGATGCTCTGGCCAATTTAAGCATTGAGAAACCCTACAACTCATCTCCAGAGACTCCTGTTACTGGACATATACGCATACGAGCCAAGTCACAGGTAAGATTATCTCAGACACGTTGTAGATGGCATCAAGTACTCATCAGGTCTCACGTCAGAATGCAACTATGTTGTCTGTGATTGTAATAAATCATTAACTGTTTTTTCATCACTATTTCTATGGCATTTATCAGACTTTATCAGATTCTTCATGGCTACAATCATAGTTCAGGCTAAGTCTGATCGTGTTTATATACAGAAGTGAAGTTATGATATGACAAAAATAAAACAAAAATATCGATCTTCTTGGCACGAGAAAGGCATTCTTTTATCTTTATAAATTTCGAAAGCAGTTAAATCAAACCAGGCAATCAATATGCACAGTGCTCACTAGACTGGCCGAGTCGTGGAAATTTTATTGTTTTACCGTTAACGATACTAGTATATGATAATTCCTTCAGAACAAGTTTGTAGAATCTTCTGATTTGACTTGTAATTACCATTACTGGTCTGTTCTGCTTCTATAGTTTTTGTGGTGATAAATATGATAATGAGTAGCATGACTTATAAGCTGCCAACCAATAAGAAAGGCAGCATTTGGTCAGATCTGTTCTGTTCACTGCATACGAATAATTATTAGCAATAGCAAGTTGTAGTAATTTCACATAGGACAATGACTATTATAAAATTGCCACAGCTTGGGCAGTCTTGAGTCTGCATCAACATCATTTGACTGTTCCAATGTTATCCAAACAGTCAATTTGAATTGAACTCTGATCAATTTATTTAGATCAAGTGACCAATGTCAAATTAGTTTCCTATTATAATCTGAAGAAAAGCTGCATTGCCATTATAAACTAAAGACTTGCGTTTTATCTTAGATTTTCCGAAAGGGGAAATGTGGCAGTTGATCAATATAATATTAAGTGAATAAAAAAAAAAATATTTAGTCACAAGACAATTCACGATTAGTGTCTTTCGTTATCAGTGATATTTACAAATATATTTGTTACCAGGTTGTTGTGTTGTAATACTGATTTTGTTAAGCTGTGAAACAAGAGTGATTTCCAGTGCTTTCTTCACTACTGAGATCGTTTGATGGAAACAGTAGAAATTCTTTTCATGTTTCATAATCCATTTTTTTTTTTTTCATTACAGGGAATGGCGCTGAGTTTAGGAGACAAGATAAATATGTCACAGAAAGTAGACAAGTCACGATTAATGCAGGAAAGGAAGTAAATAAATCAACTAAGATTTCATATTCATCACAGAAAGGACAATCTATCTTAGATCCATTGCTTAACATATTGAGGGCACTCTGTAGGGGTTGAAACGGTATACATGAGAAAAGACCAAGTTGGTTATTATTCAAGATTGAACAATGGAAATCCCATTATGGCTGCCATATTGAATACAGCGCCCTCTATTGCCAAGTGTAGTATGTGTTTGGTAACTACTGCCAGAAATGATAATACATTCGTATATTGTTAATAACAAAGTGTATTTATGCAAAAATAAAGCCAGCCCTTTATTCCTAATATGGCAAGTCATATGATGCCTGTTGACCAATCAGGATATTTGATGAGAAAAATGTGGGGTTTTTTTCCTTGCTTCCTCTAGTTTGTATTGCATAGCAAAAGAAATGAGTTTATATTCATTAAAAATTCAGAATAATTGCAAAGCTACTTAAGATTGTGTCTGATTGGCTACCAAACCCTAACAGTCAGACCAATCAGAGAGCAGCTTGTTGACAGGTTTTTGTTGACGTATCAAATTCCCTTTGTATATATGCTTCTACTCGACTGAAAATACATTGAATTTATTGTGATGGTTCATACTGCATATATGATTGCTGTAATAGCAGAGTCATGGTGTAACTGAGAAACTGTGAATGCATGAATATTACCGTAGTCTCCTCTATGAATTCGTTTATCTTGACTATTATACAATAATTTGGTGATCTGCATTTGTTGATTCTTTCTATATGCGGTATATGTATTATGGAAATCATTGGTTGTATTTTGGAATAAATCTCCCATTCTTAAGGGTACATACATATGTGCGTTGTGTATCTGCAAAAGCTGCTCTTTCATAAACGCTCATGTAGAGTATTTAATAATTCAACTGTTACTGGAATTTTATTTTAAGAGATTACACAATAAATATTGTATATGGTGTACATCTTTGGAAAAGTGATTGGTTATTTTGTGTCAGTCGCATCATTTAAAATTTATTGTTATGCAATAAATGGCTGCTGCAATTTAGGATTTTTTTTTTTTTATATTTAAATACTAATATTTAGCTTTGCTGTTGACTCAGTTGACAGAGCGGATCTGTTCATATTACCGTTTGTCCATCCTCGTCTGTTGGTGACATTTTACATTTTCAACTTCCAGAAATGGCAAGTCCACTTGCTTTGATACTTGATATGTACCTTTGGTGGTAAAAAAAATGCTATTTCTTTTTGAAAACTACAAGCTAAATTGATTTGGTACGTTGTATGTAAGTACTTTGGATGAACCTCTGTCAGATTTGTTCAGTTTAGTGAATATTTTTGGTAAAACTGCTATTTTCAGCTGCTTGTTTTAATATTTTGTTGCATTTTTAAAACATGGTCAGCAGTTGTTGTTATCGGCTTTGCACATTTCTTGTGAACAATGTTTACATACATTTCATCACAACTTTAATAAATAAAGCAACTACCAGTATAATGCAGTATATAATGTTATTATGGTACTGCGTAATGCATCTTCATATTATTTTGTAAAGCATACATTGAATTGAAACATGATGAAACAAGAAATCTATATTTCTTCACCAGCCACAATGACCGAGTGGGCAAGTCCCCCTAACTTAATCCCTGCAAACCATGAGTAAAATTAACCGCTTTTATTCTATTCAAAGTGGATACAAGTCAAGTTTATTTATTGTAAATAAGTACAGAGAAATAATAATTGTAAACTTGATTACAATGCTGTATCATTATAAAGCCATTGCCCTGGTGGTGCTGTGAGGCATGGATCGACATGGACAGGTTTCATGCTTTCTTGCAGGTTATAAACTTTATATATTATATACTAATAGTGGATTTGTCATGGGACAAGATCATTGCTGTTGGTATTATATTATCTCTCGCGTAAGTTAACTGGTATGTGTGAAGTCATGAAGATCGTTTTTTTCAATAATTTTCTTAAAGAAAATGACAACTCCCAGTACTATTATGAATGTAAAGAGGGCAAACTTTCACTATTCTCGGGAGGGCGGACTTCCAGGCATTTTCACCGCATGGCAACAATCACGGTGAAAACAAAGGCCGAAAACTCTAAGAAAACTGTACTTTGGATGGTTATTGAGACTCTCCTGAACAGTGTAACAAGATTACCCCTGCGTGTGTAACGCATATAAATTTGATTGTTCAAGATTAATTTAAAGTTGAGTTCCTGTTTTCTCGAAATTTCACGGCTCTTTGCTAGGCGTTCCTCAGCAGCGTGCGCAGAGCCCATAGAAATACGTGGTACAGTGGTGGGCGTCTTAGCAACAAGGAACGCCTTGTGACGTAGCTTCGCCCCCGAGGATAGATGCAAATTACATACATTCACTAATACTCCATTGTAGACATTTGTCATACTCAGAAAGCGTTAAATTTCTTTTTAAAAAGAAAAACAAATTG